CTTTAGTAAATATGTACTTGTAAATAGATTATCGATATATATTTTATATGGCACTTTGTTTTTATTTTCCAGCATTTCCTTCATCATCATTTTTAGAGAAGCTGTGGACTTTCCATACAAAAGCTCATCTGTCGCGTTTGACCTCGGATTTTTTCCCTGATAGTGATTAAAATTTATCAAGTAGCCATCTTTGGCATTCAAGCACCACATCTTGAACCCAAACCGGATGTGTTTTCCCCGGATAAACTGTTTATACGAGTGTTTTCCATAATATTTCATCATCGACTCGTCGTAATTGATGTCTTGTTCAGATACAAAATACTTCAAAAAGGCTGCTTTCAACTTATCCATTAGTGAACGAATTTTCCATCCTTTATCATGTACATTTGGCTGGGTATTGTCAGCACAGTGTAGAAATCTCATGATATCAAAAAAGCGATTTCTTCTCATACAATTTTTGACTAATGGGTGTCCAACATCGGACTGAGAATCCTAATAAAAGCGTTTAACAGGTCTTTCATTGTAGCCACTTAGAATTAGTACTGCTATACCACATTTTAGTTCTTCGATGAAAAATTTGGGGTCTGGACTGTTTTTGAATAAGGCATATTTTGTTGCCTCAAGTATTAAGTATTCAAAGATGTCATCGTCCCAAAATAATTCAAACATTTGAACTGGCGAAAAAGTACTAAATTTTGAATAATCCGGTACTCCAAAATTCATTTCGACATTCTGAAAGGCACCCTTGATCCAATCGTGTTGAATTTTCTCCTTAGTGATGGTTTTCCTTTTCTAATATTGGTCTGTTATCTTCACTGGAAGATTGACATGGTTCATCCGATTGACCAATTCCTGCGTTATTTTTGAATCTAATTTCAGCACCCGCTAGCAGCTAACGAGGTGGGAGGTGATTCAAATCTCCCTCTGTATCCTCATCTCCAGACTCCTCGTCAGTAAGGACGTTAACATCTGGAGGCTCAGTATATATTGCTTCCACATCCAAGCCGTCATTGTACACCATTTGCAAGGCTTCTTGTAGGGTAAACCCTGTACTGGAAAAAATAAAATAAGTAATAAAAGCGGTATAATGATCCAGTTTTACTTAATACTAGAACAAACACTAGCAACAATAAAAAGTTTGCTCTTATTGTATTCTGTTAGCCATAAATACTTTATTTATCAAAATTCACACATTTCTATATTATCTTCACACATAATGGCTTATTTTTAAAACATGGTAACAGAAAGTCCTAGCGTTACATATGTGTAACGCACAACTTTTAGGTAAGCTATGACAAAAAACAAAATCGTTTTTCTAATTCTAAGTTAAGAGGGTTAAAATACACTTATACTAGATTACATTTAGAAAATTTAAGGTTAAAATAATGTAGCTTTTAATATTTTATAATACTTACTCGAATTTGGGTTCCATTTTTCGTTCCTCTTTTCGCCAACTGATTTTTTGCACTCTTTAGAACACTCATACACGATAGTATAAAGACAACTAACGTTCACACTAGATAAAATGGCATTTCTTAGTAGTACAGGCAATAACATCTATCCACGAAATGAAAAACCTAAACACAGTAACCTACTTCATGAATCACTGCAGCTGTTACATATAAGTAACGCAGGGCTTTTAAGGGTTAATGCCAACTCCTAGCTCTGCTTATTTCAGCTACTCAACTCAGTTTAGTATTTCTACTAATTCAAGCAAAGAATATGAAGAACAAGCAACAACTGCACAAAAATATATACAGACTTTTTAATCTAATATATCAAATACAAATGACTTCCCTCTTGAACACCTTTAATTTAAAAATTGTATTTTATTTTTCAAGTTTATTTTTCATTAAAATATTACTTTATCAATAAAAGACAACAGACCTAAATTATGTCTATTTACCTGAGTGTAATCAAAATTTGCTCCTGTGAGATGATCGCATCTCTGTAGTTAGTATCCTGTTTGGTAATACGAGGTGCTTACATCTCTACTAGTGTTAAAAGAGTATCTGGACTCATTCGGTAGCAGTTCTGAAACTGAGTGGGAAAAGTTTTTAATTCTTCGGCACATATACTTTTAGCATGTTTTTTGAGCATTTGATATTATAGATGAACCCATTGACGTCTTCGCTTTCTATTTCTTCGCCTTAAATACTGCTACATTAATGCCACTTCGACCTCATCAGACGACGATATTTTGAAATATTGTACCAGTGATATTTTATTACTTTGGTATGCGAGATCAATTAAAATATATTGTGTGTTGCGTATTGCAGATTGCTGATAGCTCATTGCTATCACTCCGGTCTGCGAGCTTACTTAAGAGTTGCTAGATACGTTCGGCTAAACCAAGAAATTAAACGCCAGTATTCAGATATTAATTTGAATAATGTTAAACTCAAATTTTAAACTTTTTAATAATTTTTTTTTTAACATAACACTCTTGGTACTGATGTTAGAGACTTTGTAGAGCATACGGGTAAGGACGTTCAACAAAATCTACCTTTATCAACCATACATTTTACCCTAGATATTTAAATTTAACTAATTTCACCTTTAATGATAAACAAATTGGTAGGTATTTTTGATTAGGGCCTAAAACTTAATTGTCAACCTAATATATCTAAATAAAACCTACAGTTTCTTGCAGTTAAGTCAGAAGTTATCTTACAATAATGAAGCCATAAAATATGAAATTTATTCGGCCCTGTATCTGTAACGTGTGGAGGGTTGGTAACCCCTACGGCCTTAGGCCTCACTAGGCCCATTAAGCGTCCTCCTAAGATAATAGGCACCTCCTAGATCGTCAGCCAGCCTACAGATTTAATGTAGTTGATAACATCGCCAAGATATGCTTCTCTTATATCGGCCAGTGTTAACCGTTACTTGCCGAACACAAATCTCCTTATAAATGAGAACATCGAGCAATCGTAGAGGATATGCTTGATGGTATCATCTTCTTGTTAGCACCCCCTGAAGAATGTGGATTCTGACAGCCCCATGATATGGAGATGCTTTCGTACTTGGCAATGATCAGTCAGAATGCCTGTGACTAGGCGCAGACTCTGTCTTTTGTTTTCTGCAGTGTTGTTAGAATAACTTAAAAGCTTCCTGGCAACTCTGCAGTTTCTTGTTTCATCCCATCTTTCCTTGAATTTCAGAAGGGAATGTGCTTTAATTAGGTCTATCAGGCCAATAGAAGGGCCAGGTCCAAAAAGTATTTCGTTGGCTGCTTTCTTAACCAGTGAATCAGCAAGACGGTTACCTCTTGATGTGGCGTGACCTTTGATTCATCTTAAGGTGACCACTTTGTTAATGGATACTTCGTCCAAAACTTCATGATATTCTAGTACTAACTCTGAATAATTTCGTGGTCTGTTCAAGGTGAGTAGTGCTTGTCTGTTATCTGTATAGATGAGCAATGAGCATGTTCCTTCCAGTGATATTGTATCTGGTGATTTCTTTACTGCTATGAGAATCCCCGTGAGGTCTGTTTAAACTATACTGGTACTATTGCTTATAGTCCATTTTATGTTAAGATTTAAGGATCTGGAGTATATTCCACATTCTGAGCCTTGTTTTGTTTTAAAACCGTCGGTGTAGATTTGAATGGTACCTGCTACTTCCGGCTCTTCTATTTGTTCTGTTACTTTATATGGCTTCTGGAAGATATATATCGGTGTAATGGAATCCATGTTCGGTTGAAGCAGTGAGAGTATATCGAGCGCCTCCAACCAAAAGCCACGTCTCGCCTCACCAGATGCTACATTAGGTTTTATTCCAACCGTGCAGAGGTGTGTCATTGTCGTCAGAGCAACTTACTTGATGTAAATATCAAGTGGAGTGAGACTAAGAATGACTTCCATGGCTCTGCTTGGTGTTGTTTTTATGGCTCCTATTATGCTGAGACATGCTGTTCTTTGAATTTGTTCTAGTTTACAGATAGCTGTCAATTTTTGGGTTTTCGGTACCCAGACAACTGCACTGTATGTTAGCATAGGTTGTATTTGGCCCTAAATTACTATCAGTATAATATCACTCGTAAACCTAATTTAAATTTTCCTAGTAAAACAAAAAATTAAAAATTTTAAAGAACAAAATTAAAAATTTAAACCTTTTCATTACAAGGTGACGAAGGTAATTACTGGGTTATCCTCAAGAAAGATGAATATATCAACAAAGTATATTTTTTCTTAAATTCAAATAGCTCTTTTTTAGAAATTAAAACAGTTCCTACTGTCACTTTCCACTCTATTTAGAACTTTATCAAAACTCCTCAATCCTCAATGATCTTCTACAACTTTGTAATAAATATTCTGTGTTCCTGTGTTTTTGAGCTATGGATAATATTTGGAATCTGTGTATTATGTTTAAAGAGTTAAATGTTGTAGATATGTTTACGTTTTAAATTCACAGCTAGAATCAGTTTTTGAAAGTAAAAATGCCGACAATTTTGGTAATTTCGGCGCTTTCTATATTTTTAGGAACAAACTACAGAGAGTTCGGCTACATAAAAAAAAGTTGAAAATTTGGTCCCCTCTATTTTTTGTAATTTTTCCTCCGGCTAATAGTAATCAAAATGAATCACGTTCAACATTTTTTCCAAGATTGTTGATTGGGCATGGAAAATTGAAATTTTATATTCGATACTCGCATAAAAAAAAATATAAAAAAATTCAACCTTTCCCCAAATGTTTTGATTTACCCTCTTATATTTTTTTTGCGTACACGTGCCAACTTTCGAGATAGTGCTAACATACTAATAATATAGTTTTCAAGGCTATCAACAAAAAACGTATACCGTTTGTTTAAATAAATACACTCTTTATATTCTTTTTCATTTCATAAAGATATTCATTTTATAAATATAAATGATTAATTTCCAAAACATTTTGTATAGATCCCTCTGTATAAATCTAAACATAGCGGTGAGTTTCACGATATTTTGATGTAAATTAATAACATCTACTGCAACAATTTGCTTCATTCATTTAGCAATGAAAGAATTTGGTATTTTAAGTTTGTTGTTGTTGAATAGTTTTTTGCAGGTAGAAAACTGTAATGAAAGTGTTTGTGCCCCTGTGGTGAGCAAGTGTTTGTTGATTAAGTCTTGTAATTGTGATGTTCACAATAGCACCTGTTTTGGCTTGTGTCATACCTGTTTGGGAAAGTATTCTATAGAGTGCTGTTCATGCGTTGGTAAGTTTAAAATTATAATAAAAAAAAATAATGAACAATTGCTTATAATAATAGTAGGTATTAGAATAAAAAGAGTTGGCAAATTTTTGTCATAATTAGTATAAAAAATATATTATTTCTTTTTTAAAGTTTTAGTAGTCCCGACTTCTTTAGGTCCTTTTAAATAATGTCCGAGTAGAGTCCGGGAAATTGTTGAATAGAGTCCTAAGCTCATTATCTCAGGTAGCTGAATTATTTTATTTTTTTTTATTTTAATAAAAGTTATAATTTTTAAGGGAATATGGAATATGGTAATAAAGTAAACCAGATAGATATAAAATATATTTATTTTGCATTCCCAGCGCTATAAAATATTTTAAAATAATGAAAAAATACGTGCGACTTATTTTATATTTACATTAACTACAGTTTTTGAACAGTACCCTCAAACGGGATGAAATGAATCAAAATTCAAGGTTTTTCAGAAATAAGTTAGTGTTCTTATGCAGAAAAAAATCTAAAAAAAAATTATGTTAAAAGGTTACTATTTTGTTTTACAAAAGGCATATTGTTGAAATTTTAGCAACTGAGTTATTGTTAATATTTTTTATAATAATAATAATAATAATACTCTCCCTAATTCACCCCCTTACGACTGAATTTCAACCCCTGATGTCGACTAAACGACTTGTGAAGGGGAAGGAACGGCTATTATTATTATTTTCCGTGGCGCTCCGGGGCGACTTAAAGATGATTTATGGTGCCATTTGACTTACAGGTGAGGAAAACCCGGAAAACCTCACCCACCATCATCGAGACGGTAATGCATGGCGATTTTTTAATCTGCATGTCATATCAACAGAAATTGAATTTCTATTAATGCGGCACACATCAAATCCTAAACCGAACCATTCGATTTAATTAAAAATCCACATGGTCCGGTCTGTGATTCGAAGCCCAGCAGTCTCAGACTCATAAACTGCCTATAAATGAATATAAGCGCGTTAGACCGCTACACTACCGATCCGATTTAATTTATGATGATCCGCTTCGCCCCTTAAAGGGGGTGAAGTGGATCACTTATATAGTTATATTTAAAATACACTTAAGCATAGCTATGGGGTAAAGCGGATCACAAAAATTTAAAAATTAAATATTTTGATGCCATACTATGCCTTAAGTGTTAATTTTTTAGGCCCAGTATGGCATTAAGTATCAATTATTAAAATAACACATTACCGTTTAAACTCTTTATTTAAACTTAAAACAAAACTGAAATAAAACTCTATAAGTCTTCCATACTTGGCTACAGTTAATGAAAAAGGAACAATTCTAAAAAAAGATAAGTCATGAGGTAGAAAAATTAATTTACCAAAAGAAACAATTCTAAAAACGATAAGTTATGGGGTAGGAAAATTAATCTAACAAAAACGATCCTGCCTATTATAAACAATAGCTTCTGGTGTTTTTGAAAATATATCTTTCCCTTCTTAGTAGTTTTTTGATTATCTGCTCCCTATAAACTACAAAAACATCCGGAACATCTGGATAGACAAAAAGTCTTGTTTTGCTGAAGATTTCTTTCTTAAAACACTGACTGAAAATTCACCCTGGGTCACTTTTGACAACAATTTTGGCTTCAAAAAACATGTTTCTCTTATTTGTTCCAAATTTGACAATAAAAAAATATCATCAATTTCAATCTCATGATTACCATAATTCTCAACTTGACTCTCCACCGAATGAGATGTTGTTGGTATTTCTTCCTCCTCTGATATCTCAGTAGCATTATCGGATGGTTTATTTTCATTCAAATCCAATCCTTCCAGGTCCTTGCCACTTTCCACATCATCGATAAGGGTCGGTACACCGAGACACTCTTTCCTGGCATTATATTAATCTTCTTTTCACGCTTGGCAGTTTCCTTATTTTTAGTTCTCATTTGACTGAGCTGATCAAAATTGTATTGCACCATGTTTTTCTGTATGCTGTGCCTCTCGTTCTTGGTTTACTCTAAGATGTTTAATTTTATTTAAAACAATCTGTGGGTCATATGGTGATATCCCATAGGCTTTAAATCCGGCTAATGTGTTCGCCTCAGATTTCGCAACAATTTTTGTAATAGTTTCATTTAAAAAACGGGAAAAACATGTCTTCGGTAGCACTTCTTAATTTTTTAACTTCCACTTTTCCAACACTGATCGCCATGCTACCTTAAATAGCCTAAAATGTGGAATTGGGCGAAAGAAGGACAAACCTTAGATTGTTATTCTCACATTGTTGAACAATACTGGTGACCAAGTTATCGCCAATCATCAATTTTAGACCCTCCAAATTTCGCAAATATGGTAAAGAAATAGTAAAGAATCAGTCTTCGAAAGTTTCACCATCGAACCATCCATTAGTTGATCTATTGTATCGTTACCCTGATTAACCTCCTTCTGTCCACCCTGGGTATAAATGTCTGGCTTTATAAACCACGTAAGGTGATAGTAGAGTGTCATTATCGGCTATTGCAACATAACACTCGTGCTGCATTTTGATGTATCGATATTTTGATGAGTATGTTCACTCCTTGCCTAGCCATAACTTTGGCAGCACCCCGGTCATCAGAGAAGTTCGTCTCATCATAGTTAATAATTTTCTAAGGTGGTATACTTTCCAGAAACTCTTGCAAATGAGTAAAATATTGTTCCACAATTTCGTATGAAACTGCAGCTCTTACCCTTTTAGTATTTTCTGATAATTTTACTGTTAAGTCTTGTCAAAAAGTATTTAAACGAATCCATGCCAGGGAGATTTTCCTTAAAAGGTTTTTCCGTGTAACCTAATTTGTTGAGATATTGTTGAACCATAAAACTGACATCAAAACTTTTCAGTGGAAACCCCCAATCCGCACACATCAACAGAATTTCCATCAACTCTTTTCTTCTTCGCCACATAAAACTGCTTGACCACCATACTTTCCCGTTTGCTTTCCATAAAATTTTCTATTGAGTGTTATGTACGGCACTCCGCAAGACTCAGCTGCAGCTCGTATGCCCATATCACGTCAAACTGCCGCCACTGCCATTCCTAAACACACGTTGTCATAAGTTTGTTTCTTTTTGATACCCAACTTCCATTTATACACCATGGACATTTTTGTAATATAAAATTATTATTATTAATAAATAATAATTAATTATTAATATGAATCATTAATTTTACAGTCCCTCAACTAAACATATAAGTTTACATTTTTACAAATATCCCTGATTCACTTGACCCACTTAAATGCACTTTTTCAAAAAATAAATAAAAATGGACAAACCGGCTACATTATGAAAACAAACTTAGCACAATGGTATTGTGGAAATAGTATTTTATGCATATACATACCACTACCACATAACTACAAATTAAAGCACCCACCCTGTGGAATAGTTTGTTTTCAAAGTTTTAAAAATATACTTATTTTATGTATAATAATCAACAAATTTCTCAGAGAGACTTACCTTACCTATATTTATCAAACACTGTCAAAACAAAACTGGTGGTGTCTATTGCCGCATCGGTAATGTTGGACGCCTTGAAACCTGCCCGATCTGGTTATACGCGGGAGTATTTAAAAGAATCTATCCTTGATCCAATTCACTTCAGGTCATTCACTACACCTCGTTTGACGGTATATTTTCTTTTCATTTTGTTGCGCTGTCCTAATCTTTATGTAGGAATTACTTTGAAAATCTTTTAAAACTGTAATAAATTGATAAATATGAGGATATGAATGGTAAAATGCAGAATTAAACCGTGAATAAAAATGTTTTCTTTACTTGTATTTTTAGCCCATATATATGGTGAAAATTTGAACGATTCTGTTATATAAGTATCTATAAGATAATCTGTGAATAACCTAAGTTCGGAATTAATAAGCAATTTAATTAATAGCAAAACAGTCTCCAACATCTGTTGAATTAGGAAACGGCAAACCAAAACGATTTATCAAAAATTTCCCAACTTCTTAATCCTTTTCCTTGTATGCAGCAGTAAGTCCAAGTTGTTGTATTTTTCGCCACCTAAAAAGTACATGTTCTAAAAGTTGTAGAAGATCCAATTCTAAAAAACTTTTGTATAAAATTTTTAAGTTGTAATTGAATATTTTTATGTAACGTATGTTTTTGGTGGTATAGAAGAGGAACTTATATTTGTCATGTTAATAAAAAAATATTAAATAGTTATTGAAATATATATTAATAGTAGATAATACTAAATATTCAAATTCGAAATTCAGGTAATTAATCCTTTAATGACTTAATCTGACCCTAGACTCTACTCAAAGATCTAAATTTTGGACTGTCATTATAGCAGGTATAAACGGGGCTATACTTTAGTCTGCCCAAAAATATATAAATAAAAAATATGAAGAAACATTGAGTTGTATTAAAGGTGGGAAAAGAAAGAAAACAGTTCCTTTATATTTGTATTTGAACGGCAACCGGTTTTGAAGTTTGTTCACTCCTCGTTAGGTACACCTAGTGGGTAAGAGAAAAGGGGGAATTGTATAATTTTTGGCCAACAACTTAAAACTCATCAATTCCTCCTTTTTTCTTATCCACTAGTTTCTGATGATGAAGTGAACAAACTTTGAAACCGGTCGCCGTTCAAATACAAATTTCATTGTGAGATATAAAGGACCTGTTTTCTTTCTTTCCCCACCTTTAAGTTATTTATAAATCACTTATTTAAATTTTAAATCTACCAATTTCTCCCATGCTTTGAGCAAACATACTTTGATTTTCTTTTACTATACGGAGAATGGTCGCACTGCGCAGATTTCTGAGTGCCTTTTAAAAGGAGATAGAAAACTCCGCCATTTTGATCCCTTATTACGTGTTGCCTACATCTTCGAAATTGTCGGTTTTCTTGTTTTAATGTGACAGGTTAAAACGACTAAACCGACAATTCCGGAAGCAGAAGCGGATAATTAAAACGCACCTGATATTTTGCTTGCTGCTGTCAGTGTCAGTGAATATTATATT